AAAAAAGTTTCTCAAAAATGACTAAAAATGCACTCATTTGCCTTAAAATACTTAGCTATGTCCATTTCTGTTGTTAAAATTCAGAAAAAATATACTTTTTTGGTACGACAACTTTTGATCACCCTTACATACTATGCCAATAAGATCCTGAACTAATCTCCGGAAAAAAAAGTTTCTCAAAAATGACTAAAAATGCACTCATTTGCCTTAAAATACTTAGCTATGTCCATTTCTGTTGTTAAAATTCAGAAAAAATATACTTTTTTGGTACGACAACTTTTGATCACCCTTACATACTATGCCAATAAGATCCTGAACTAATCTCCGGAAAAAAAAGTTTCTCAAAAATGACTAAAAATGCACTCATTTGCCTTAAAATACTTAGCTATGTCCATTTCTGTTGTTAAAATTCAGAAAAAATATACTTTTTTGGTACGACAACTTTTGATCACCCTTACATACTATGCCAATAAGATCCTGAACTAATCTCCGGAAAAAAAAGTTTCTCAAAAATGACTAAAAATGCACTCATTTGCCTTAAAATACTTAGCTATGTCCATTTCTGTTGTTAAAATTCAGAAAAAATATACTTTTTTGGTACGACAACTTTTGATCACCCTTACATACTATGCCAATAAGATCCTGAACTAATCTCCGGAAAAAAAAGTTTCTCAAAAATGACTAAAAATGCACTCATTTGCCTTAAAATACTTAGCTATGTCCATTTCTGTTGTTAAAATTCAGAAAAAATATACTTTTTTGGTACGACAACTTTTGATCACCCTTACATACTATGCCAATAAGATCCTGAACTAATCTCCGGAAAAAAAAGTTTCTCAAAAATGACTAAAAATGCACTCATTTGCCTTAAAATACTTAGCTATGTCCATTTCTGTTGTTAAAATTCAGAAAAAATATACTTTTTTGGTACGACAACTTTTGATCACCCTTACATACTATGCCAATAAGATCCTGAACTAATCTCCGGAAAAAAAAGTTTCTCAAAAATGACTAAAAATGCACTCATTTGCCTTAAAATACTTAGCTATGTCCATTTCTGTTGTTAAAATTCAGAAAAAATATACTTTTTTGGTACGACAACTTTTGATCACCCTTACATACTATGCCAATAAGATCCTGAACTAATCTCCGGAAAAAAAAGTTTCTCAAAAATGACTAAAAATGCACTCATTTGCCTTAAAATACTTAGCTATGTCCATTTCTGTTGTTAAAATTCAGAAAAAATATACTTTTTTGGTACGACAACTTTTGATCACCCTTACATACTATGCCAATAAGATCCTGAACTAATCTCCGGAAAAAAAAGTTTCTCAAAAATGACTAAAAATGCACTCATTTGCCTTAAAATACTTAGCTATGTCCATTTCTGTTGTTAAAATTCAGAAAAAATATACTTTTTTGGTACGACAACTTTTGATCACCCTTACATACTATGCCAATAAGATCCTGAACTAATCTCCGGAAAAAAAAGTTTCTCAAAAATGACTAAAAATGCACTCATTTGCCTTAAAATACTTAGCTATGTCCATTTCTGTTGTTAAAATTCAGAAAAAATATACTTTTTTGGTACGACAACTTTTGATCACCCTTACATACTATGCCAATAAGATCCTGAACTAATCTCCGGAAAAAAAAGTTTCTCAAAAATGACTAAAAATGCACTCATTTGCCTTAAAATACTTAGCTATGTCCATTTCTGTTGTTAAAATTCAGAAAAAATATACTTTTTTGGTACGACAACTTTTGATCACCCTTACATACTATGCCAATAAGATCCTGAACTAATCTCCGGAAAAAAAAGTTTCTCAAAAATGACTAAAAATGCACTCATTTGCCTTAAAATACTTAGCTATGTCCATTTCTGTTGTTAAAATTCAGAAAAAATATACTTTTTTGGTACGACAACTTTTGATCACCCTTACATACTATGCCAATAAGATCCTGAACTAATCTCCGGAAAAAAAAGTTTCTCAAAAATGACTAAAAATGCACTCATTTGCCTTAAAATACTTAGCTATGTCCATTTCTGTTGTTAAAATTCAGAAAAAATATACTTTTTTGGTACGACAACTTTTGATCACCCTTACATACTATGCCAATAAGATCCTGAACTAATCTCCGGAAAAAAAAGTTTCTCAAAAATGACTAAAAATGCACTCATTTGCCTTAAAATACTTAGCTATGTCCATTTCTGTTGTTAAAATTCAGAAAAAATATACTTTTTTGGTACGACAACTTTTGATCACCCTTACATACTATGCCAATAAGATCCTGAACTAATCTCCGGAAAAAAAAGTTTCTCAAAAATGACTAAAAATGCACTCATTTGCCTTAAAATACTTAGCTATGTCCATTTCTGTTGTTAAAATTCAGAAAAAATATACTTTTTTGGTACGACAACTTTTGATCACCCTTACATACTATGCCAATAAGATCCTGAACTAATCTCCGGAAAAAAAAGTTTCTCAAAAATGACTAAAAATGCACTCATTTGCCTTAAAATACTTAGCTATGTCCATTTCTGTTGTTAAAATTCAGAAAAAATATACTTTTTTGGTACGACAACTTTTGATCACCCTTACATACTATGCCAATAAGATCCTGAACTAATCTCCGGAAAAAAAAGTTTCTCAAAAATGACTAAAAATGCACTCATTTGCCTTAAAATACTTAGCTATGTCCATTTCTGTTGTTAAAATTCAGAAAAAATATACTTTTTTGGTACGACAACTTTTGATCACCCTTACATACTATGCCAATAAGATCCTGAACTAATCTCCGGAAAAAAAAGTTTCTCAAAAATGACTAAAAATGCACTCATTTGCCTTAAAATACTTAGCTATGTCCATTTCTGTTGTTAAAATTCAGAAAAAATATACTTTTTTGGTACGACAACTTTTGATCACCCTTACATACTATGCCAATAAGATCCTGAACTAATCTCCGGAAAAAAAAGTTTCTCAAAAATGACTAAAAATGCACTCATTTGCCTTAAAATACTTAGCTATGTCCATTTCTGTTGTTAAAATTCAGAAAAAATATACTTTTTTGGTACGACAACTTTTGATCACCCTTACATACTATGCCAATAAGATCCTGAACTAATCTCCGGAAAAAAAAGTTTCTCAAAAATGACTAAAAATGCACTCATTTGCCTTAAAATACTTAGCTATGTCCATTTCTGTTGTTAAAATTCAGAAAAAATATACTTTTTTGGTACGACAACTTTTGATCACCCTTACATACTATGCCAATAAGATCCTGAACTAATCTCCGGAAAAAAAAGTTTCTCAAAAATGACTAAAAATGCACTCATTTGCCTTAAAATACTTAGCTATGTCCATTTCTGTTGTTAAAATTCAGAAAAAATATACTTTTTTGGTACGACAACTTTTGATCACCCTTACATACTATGCCAATAAGATCCTGAACTAATCTCCGGAAAAAAAAGTTTCTCAAAAATGACTAAAAATGCACTCATTTGCCTTAAAATACTTAGCTATGTCCATTTCTGTTGTTAAAATTCAGAAAAAATATACTTTTTTGGTACGACAACTTTTGATCACCCTTACATACTATGCCAATAAGATCCTGAACTAATCTCCGGAAAAAAAAGTTTCTCAAAAATGACTAAAAATGCACTCATTTGCCTTAAAATACTTAGCTATGTCCATTTCTGTTGTTAAAATTCAGAAAAAATATACTTTTTTGGTACGACAACTTTTGATCACCCTTACATACTATGCCAATAAGATCCTGAACAAATCTCCGAAACAAAAAGTTTCTCAAAAATGACTAAAAATGCACTCATTTGCCTTAAAATACTTAGCTATGTCCATTTTCGTGGTTAAAATTGAGAAAAAATATATTTTTTTGGTTCGTCACCTTTTGATCACCCTAAAATACCATACCAATAAGATCCTGAACAAATCTCTAAAAATGCACTAATTTGCAATGACAGTTTTTGTGGTTAAAATGTATGGTAGTCTATCATTTTCTTGAAAAATGAGTTTTCAAAAAAATAAAAATCAGTATCCAGCCCTCACTTTACAACCTATTTTAACATTAGGTATATTTTCTAGCATTGTTGCCACTAAGTTAGCATCAGTCAGCACACTTTTAGAGCGTACCTCGACAGAAGGGAGGTTTAGCTAGAATTCAAAACACTGACCCCACTGCTTTAGGGAATGACACTAACACTCTTGTGTGGCCCACTTAGCATGTAGATTTATGAGAAAACGTCTCTTCCTCTGACCTGATTTTTAATGTCAGTAAACATTTTCTGAGCAGCTAATGATGTGACTCACTACTTTCAGATCTTCCCCAACAGAACGAGCGGTCCAATTAATAAATGATGGTTTCTATTCCAAGGACAGGCTTTAGGCTGCGGGTTTGGCCCACGGTCTGCGTAGTGGCGTGTTTATCTTTACACACTGTGCTTTGAAAATTACAAATTGACAAATAAACTGAAAAATAAAGAATAATATTCTCACAACAAGTCCTTAACAGTGCAGTCCAGTAAATAAATGAAGAAATAAATAAGTGATCATTGCATGATACTGATTTAGCAGAATGATTGTCATTTTGAAAAGAATAACATGATTGTTTCTACACCACAACATCTTCATTTTACATTAGTTTCCTCCAAAGAGAATCAACTGAAACCATGTCTTAGTGATACATTATTTAAGGCTTGCTTTTTGTCATCACAACTACAGTGAATGTCAGACACACTGCTGGAATTAAGAGTTACTAATTAGTCACTATCTACTATCTGTGATGTCACATTCGCTGTATTTGGGACGACACCAGCTGAGGATAGCAGTGGTGTCAGTAAATCATGAGGGAGGCAGTCGTTGCCAGGCCTCATGAATTGCTAAATAAAGCAAGCTGTCAGTATTTCATCAGATCCGGAAACTAGGATCAGAGCTGGAACAGACAGACGCTCTTTGTTTAACGGCATCGGTGCTGCCTCTTACCTGAGGCAACGCTTGCATTACTGTGTTTAACAGAGCCCTCATTCCTGTGGCCATCTTCAAGAGCTTCAGCACTGAAACAACAGAATGTGTCAGCTGTTATCTACCACTTCAATCCTGTGTTTGTGTGTGTGTTTTTGTATCAAAAATGCATACCCCTCGTTATTCGCAGGACTCTCATGATGCGTATAATGGTAGGGTTGATAGGCAGGGAAGCGTTCAGATCGATTTCCTCCAGTGCGATTCCCATGATGGACAACAAGACAATGGAGAGGTCCAGCTGGTTCCACCTCGACAGGAGAACACACACACATTTACATTAAGAATTAAAATAATGCTGTTTTCAGGGTATGTGTGTGCTTGTGTGTGTGTGAAGGCGGAGGATGCGGGGGCACTTGGTATGGCTCCAAATTTATCGTTTAAAGAGGCAAGTGGGATGAAGAACAGGAGCAGGATGTTGTCTGAATGAGAAGCGTTTACAATAGCAGGGGAGTCTCCAGAGGAACCAGGCGAGGGGGTGGCACCTGGCTCCAGCATGCAGGAAGTAGGACACTGGCCCATTCACTTACTGTGGATTCTCCTCACATTAGCTCACTAAGACATTAACTGCAGATTATACCAAGGCACTATCTGCTGAGGTAGGTCTGCTAGAAAAATTCCAGCTGTTGTTACATCATCATGTGTGCAGAAGACTATTTGGTCTAAACGGACAGAAACAGTACGAAATCATGAGCTGTGAATTTACCTTTGAAAAGGCGTGGTATTTAAATGTAGTAAGACTGAAGAGAAAAGTGAAAATAATTCCGCTTTAAAACCCATCTCAATCAGTCATAGTACACAGTAGCTAGCATTAACATTAGCATTGCTAAAAGCTAAATGTTTCCCTTTTTAACACCAATGCACAGGATGAAGATTTTTCAAGTTATAATTAAAATATAGTTATATAAAATCTCTGATTTAGTGTAAAAAAAGACAAATATTTTCTGTTGTGTAATTCAGAATCAACCCATCAGGGGTCTCCAGTGGTTCTGCACAAGTAATTTGGCTGAGTTTTTTTATAAACGTGATGCATTTTCTGATGCAACCAGATTGAACCTAAACATTTCATGTCAGGTGGAAATCTTACCACAGCGCCACCTAGCCACATTGAAAAATTATATTGAACCCAAACTTTTTAATTTATAAAAGTCACTCTGCAGCTTTAATTACCAGAGTAAAAGTACAGTACTTTATATTCTCTAATAGAATGTTTGACTATAAGTTAATGTGTGAATGTGACCATTCTATGTTGTATAGGTCTACAACAGTAGGAATGTGGGAGTGTGAATACCTCTCTTTGAAAAACCTGCGCAGGCCAAAGGCGATGAGTTTAAGAATGGCCTCGATGACGAAAACCAAGGTGAACACATAGTTGCAGTACTTCAGTATCTCCTCCAGGTACTGCAGGACACAAAGACAAAAACGTCCCGTGGCTGTTCTGTACCTCTGTGTCATCGTTACTGTTGTTCCAGGACAGGTGACAGGTGGTGTTGCCATGGTTACCTTAGGCTGGTTGTAGTACTCCATGCTCATGGTGAGGAGGTTTGTGAAGATGATGATGGTGATGAAGAGGTCCATGTAGTAGCTGGTGCACACAGTGTGGATGGATCGACGCAATGGGGAGTAGTCTGAGTAATATGGTTTCTCCTGGGCCCCTGGGTCACAAAAAGATGCAAACATTCATATCTATACAGAAAACACACACACACACAAACACACACAGATAAACTGGCACTCAGACACCCAGTCATTAAAACGCCTGTGAAATAAAAATATGACATGGACTATGAAGTCACCGATGGAGTTGGTGCCAAGTAGTACACTGTGTGTGTGTGTGCGCACTATGAGTGCCACTTCAGGAATTCAGTCTTATCCATCACAAACAAACACACACACACACGCGCACATACACACCACCTCAAGGTGTCTTTGGGCAGAAACCCTTGCAGTCTGTTGCCAGACACTTAACTGACAAAGGAAAAGCACTACTAGAGATTATACCGCAGAAAAAGGGGGGTGGGGGGTGGGGCAGAGAGAGAGAGAGAGAGAGAGAGGCAGGCAGTAATATTCAGAGAGTATGGGCAAAGTACGCTCATGCTTGTGCAGTAATACTTAATACTACGTAATGCGGCCACTACAGTAACTGTGACAAGTGGATGTACGATAACATCAGCCGACCAATACTTTCGGCACAATAGTAGCGTATTATGTAATATCAGTAAGAATCATTATTGATTTTTTTCTCCGATAATGCAATGCCTGGGCTTCACCACATGATGTCTGCCCAAAAGCAGTTTTAGGGATAAACGCCTGTATATTAAAGCGAAAGTCACTAGATGGCAGCATTGCAGCTCATTCAACTCATACAGTGGTTTGTAAATATTACCAGGCCTATATCGGTTTCGGTTGATATCGGAATCTGAAGTTCTCGCTCAATATCAAAAATTATTTTGATGGTAGTGAGCCATATTTTGTGCTCTTAAATAAACCAAATGTAAGTCCAAATTTTTCACGGTATTTGTGCTCTTAAATAAACCAAATGTAAAATAAAGTCCAAATTTTCCACGGTGAAGTTGCCAGTGCTACTGTATGACTGAGCCATACGTCCCACGGAGGAGTTTCAGACTGAGTCTGTTTTTAATAGCACTAAACTACTACTTTGTTCTGCAGGGACGCTCCTCCACAACACCTCACTGTGCACTTTTCTTTAATCGGAGATATAAGCACAGGGGCGTTTTATTATTAGACCCTATGTGGACCAATGGCGGAGCAGAGAGGGTCTGATTCATGGGTAGAGTGTACAACTACCCACTAGAGGCTCATCTGTGCGTCTGCTGTGTGGTCAAAAAGTACCAGACACTGTCTGTCATCACAGCTCCTGTAGCTGAGAGGACTCTCACCCTGAAGATAGAAACAGACAAACTATCGTCTGTTTCAGCAGCAGCTCTGGACTGACAGAGCCGACAGTTACACTCATGTGAACCCCTTATAGTTCAGGACAATCGTTTCTCACTTCTTCTCCTCTTCTCCCAACGCCTCTGTCGTTTCTCCTCCCTCAGCCGCGCCTCCTCTTCCTCCTGTTGCTGCCGACACTTGTGAAAGTTCTCCACCACCACGCCCACAAACATGTTGAGCACAAAGAAGCTGACGATGAGGAGAAAAGAGATGAAGAACAGCAACATCCAGGGGTTGTTGTTTCTGATTGGCTGCGGACACAGAAAGTACAGGCGAAAGGGAAACGGAAGGAAAGGGGTGAGTAAGCAGCGGCAGGACAAATGGGGGTAAGGGAACAGGTGAGGAGGGGTGGAGGACAACAGGAGAGGGAGCAGAAACCAGAAAACAATGGAAGTAATGAGTCAGCAGTGGAACTGTCTGACACTGACAGCTCAAATCTATTTATCTGTTTTTTCCCCCGCTGACACCTCCCCTCTGTCCTGAAATGTTCAAGGTGGAGGTAAAATACAATAAATAAATACAGCAATATTCAGTTCTAACCAACCACAAACCCATTTTTCATTTTTGTTTTTGTTTGGGTTGTTGGTTTTGTGGGGTATTTTTGTGTGGCCATTTAAAAAAAAAAAAAAAAAAAAAAAAAATCGCACCAGCCAAATAGAGTGTCCTCTATCGGCTATCTGTGTGAAAATAATAAACATGTGAAATTACATATTTAAATATATAAATTGCACCTGAGTATAAGTCGCAAAAATGTGTGCGTGTGCGTGTGTGTGGCTATCCTCACCTGCTGATCCACTCCGACAGCATCCAGGCCGTCGTACATGATGCTGACCCAGCCGTCTTTACATGACAGAACAAACAGTGACATCAGTGCCTGGAATAACAGGACACACACATGCATCAGCGTCATGCTGTCATGTTTAATACATATCTACGTGTCAGCACTGGATGTGCAGTACTGCGTGGACACAGACCTGTCCCAGATTGTCGAAGTTGTATTTGCGTCTGACCCATCGGTACCCTGCCTCCAGACACTGGGTTTTATTGGTGATGTTGGCCACATCGTGCCCCTCGCATTGGAAGAACTTCCCCTTAAACAGCTGCACACAGACACGTGTGTGTGCACAGAGAGAAGGCACATGAGAACAGTGTGTCCACTGGGTAATTACAAACAAATAAACAGATGTACGTTTGTACAGCATCATAACGAGCAATGAAGAATCCTGACGGCCGGCAGTCTTGAAGTGACACCTTTGACGGCTGTACGAGGCTGATGGAGGACAGGGGGAAATAGGATTTCATTCATGGATGAGTGACTGACAGTAGTTGGACTGGGTTTACAATATTAGTCCCAGCTGCCAATCACAACTAGTTCCTACAGAACTTCACATACACTGTATTTTTCTAAACCCTATATGTATACATTGGCGCGTATTGATATCGAGAAACACAGGGTAACAGTTCCAACAACAACAACAACAACACAGCAACCTTAAAAAAACACAACAACGATGATCACAGGGCGAAAAGACAAGTAATCTCTCTAAATAGTCGGAGAAACACAGCAACCTTAAAAAAACACAACAATGATGATCACAGGGCGAAAAGGCAAGTAATCGCTCTAAATAGTCGGAGAAGGAGAAGTAATAAACAGGTCCACAGAACTCCCAGTGACCCAAACAGCATAAACTCACCAAAACACATTAGCGACAGCTAATATAAAGGTAATCCACTTAAACCATTCGCCATCGCTGTATCCCATAATACTCTCTTAAAGTCATCCACACCCTCATCGGAAATCCACTCATCCTATTCAGTTACGATTACTGTTTATTTCTCTCTCCGAGGTGTTGGCATTATTCGTACACCTTTTTTTCTTTAGCTTTGTGCCTTGATATATAATGATAATGAAAAAGATAATGTTCAGTATACAGGTGTTAATTCAACACTTTAACACTCAATGCTGTATTCATCACAGCATTGTTGGCACTTTTTAGTTGTTTATATAGCAGGTTGATTACACTCAGCTTTTTAGCAACTAAAAATATTTGTTATATTCTTATTTAACATTATATTTCTCATATTAAGACCTGTAACTAGCAATTGAGACAATAATCTCTTTAGTGAAATATTTTAGCAATTTGCAGAAAAAAAATGGTCAGGTTTAAGATTGTTGATATATCTGAAATAATCATGATTAATCCACAGCTACTTGGTAAATAGTAATGGTTGCGTGTGAAAGGGTTACTGATGCAAAATCACAATGAGAAAGCCTGAGAAGAGGAAAAAAGTTTATCATAAAAGTTTGGAGTCATCTAGGTCATTTTGGGCTTCAGTTAGCAGCTGGATTTACTTGAAGAAAGTTCACCTCTCATCCAAGAGGCTCGTTCAGCTCTGACTACCTGGTGAAAACCTCCAGGTATGGAACCTCTGTAAGCTGAATACTTGAATAAAGAGTCATCGTGTTCAACAATGCGGGTCACGGAGTCGTTGACCTACTTTATGGATGTTAGTTTCACCTGAGGTTCAAGTGTGAATGAGGGGTTTTTAGAACCTCCTGAGACACATGTCACTCTGTATCTAAGTGTTGACTCTGGCAGAGTTACGCTCTCTCACCACGTGGATGGGAAACAAATTTCTGTGAGGGTGGGCTCTCAGAGGAACTGTGGTTCAATTATTAGGTATTTTCAAGAATTTCCACATTGTGAGATCATTAAAGTTCAATCTAAGTTTGATCTAATCTAATCTAGGGCTGGACCATCAACCAATAATGACACATATTAGATCCCAGAATATTAGTGGAATCCATCAAATCACTTTCTCTTTGTTTTCCTTATCTTTCTATCATATAAGGTTGAAAACACTGCACACTAAGTTTTTCTTGTTATATGGGATGTACACTGAACTTTTCAAAATGTATATTAAACTATTTTTATTTTTTTAAAGCCAGAAGCTAATTTTCAGAAATATTACAGATCTTTTCAGACACCCTGGGGTGTTTGAGGGAAAATAATTAATACATTTTAGTCCTTTGTCTGGAAGCGGTCACAGACTTGCCTTCTGCCCTGGTTGAAGGTCAAGCAGTCTGGCCAGCTGCTGGCTGCCGCGTGGCCTGCCTATAGTTCGCAAATCACATTTTCTTTCAAAAATAAAAACTCTGTGCCTTCTGAATTCTGCCTTCTTCTCATATTGCTGAGAATCAGCTCCAGGTTCTCTAAGATTGTTTAGAAACTTTTAGATTAGATTAAGATTTAGATTCAAATTAGATTAGATTGATATATCTGAAAAAGAAAATGTACAAAAAATATTTTTTAAATCATCATATAGGAGGTTATTTTGGACATAGACTCATCATATAGGAGGTTATTTTGGACATGGACACAAAAAAACCAAGTGGGGATGAAACCAGACTGAATCACAGGCTGAGAGAGTATTATTGAGAGCCAACCGCGGTCAGCACACCTCCATTTATCTGATCTCACAGCAGGTAAGAAGACTAACATCGCTACGGCTCTTGGTGCTTTAAACAGCAGCAACCTCATACTGTCATTATGAGTCACTCTGTGTATCTACAAACTCCCTTCAACGCCACAGGTGGCTCGTGCACAACTGGGTGCACAAATCTTGTGGTACACAAAAAAGGACTGAACTAATGTCTAAGATATCCAGAGACATTAGTTCAGTCCTTTTTTGTGTATCCAGGTAGCATGTAGCATGTGTTCCAGTCTGCCTGCCTGGCATCACAAAAAACCTGAAATACTACCGTACATGGCCATACAGCATATATGGTTTTTCAATGAATGAAAGATAAACATGATTGAAATAACACAAAATAGAACAGAATAAGTTTTACAAATATTATTGAAATCTTAGACGTTTGAGACTAAAGGTTATAGCAGCGTTTGCTGTGGAGGAAAGGGAGCTTCATGTTGGTGACTGAACACATTAAAATACCAATAAAAAAATAATAAAAACAATTACCATAATGTGGCAGTGTATATCCTTTAACAATATCCAGTAGTATCTGAACCATAATTACAGTTTTCCCTGCAAAGTCAGATTTTTTTGGCTCTAAAACCTTTGAAAATTAAAATGAACTCATAGTTTAAATTAGTTTTACACAAAAATTAGGTGAAAGTTTCAAAAGCACAGTCCTCCTGCAGCGAACCAATTTTTATTTCCAGCTGCACAATCAGCAGCTCATTTGTGTTTTCCTTCACTTTTTTCCCTCTCCCCCGTATTTATTACCTAAAGCGTTTCCTGAGCTTGCCTTCATTTATTTATTCAAAGCCATTGTGATCTGTGTCTTCTCACAGCAGAAAACACAACACGCTTCAGTTGTTTGGTGACATTTCACAGTATGACAGTGCATACGTGCTGCATATTTCTCAACAAGCAGCAGTCAAAAGCTGAAATGCTGAGCCTTATCTTCGACGCACAGTCGAGGATGACAGAACATTTACCTGCACTCCTAAAATTCCAAATACGATGAAGAAGGCACAGCAGATGAGGACAATGTTCCCAATGGGCCTCAGAGACGTGATGAGAGTCTCCACAACCAGTTTTAGACCTGGAGCCCGACTAATTACCCTGCAACACATGAACACAAACGACAATGACTCGTAGGTTTGTCTTACATCGGGCGCTGATGCCCAGTCAACACTCTGTAAAAGACACTTCATCTCATTAAAACATGACTGACAGCAAGGACACGACACACATACAGTAAGCCACTGAGAAAGAGACTGACTCATTAACATAAAGTCTGTGCAGGTCTTTCTAAGACACACGTGCCAAACTAAAGGCCCGGGGGCCAAATGTGGCCCACCAAGTCATTTTGTATGGCCCACGGGAGCTGGGAAAGCATTTAATACTTTTTTTTAATTATTATTACACATAGCCATTTACAATATTTATAACTTGAATAAATAGTAATTAATTTCAGAAACATTTATTAATACCTTAATACCTTGGATTAGTTACCATGGAGTAGTTACAGCTATAGTCTATTGTTTATAACCGGCCCTTATAGGGGAACTGTACTGATGATGTGGCCCCCCCGTTTGACAATTACACCTGAGTCTGGAATACTGATTTCAAACACACATACAAAACAATTCACTCTTTAGGTAGATTTAGTGTAAATCAATTTTAATTAAATTATTTTTTTAATTTAAATGCCAAACATAGTGTTACTTTTCTTTCTAATAATTTGACCATTGACTATTATTATTTTTTTCTTCAAACACTGTTCTCAGCTGAACAGTGTAGACCTGTGCTGCTGTGTGTTAATGGCGAAGAAAAAACTTTTGGAGGTAATATGCTGTGTAAATCATTTTAATCAGAGAACTTCTCAAGTACACCTACCGGAGAGGTCGCAGTGTGCGAAGGAGACGAAGCACACGAAGTATGCCAAGGATTCGATTACCTCCAGATGATGCGATGGAGACGAGAATGTCCACCATTGACACAAACACCAGCAGACCGTCTAATATGTTCCAGCTGCTCTGCAGGTACACACCGTTTCCAAAGCACAGGCCCATAGCTACCACCTGAAAGAACACGCACACATACAGTGTACATCCAGCACAATTACAGGTGGAAGGTAAAAAAAAAAAAAAAAAAAAGCCCCACTAATCTCCACCCAAGAGGAAAATTGCCCTTTTACAAGTATGATGAGAAAATGAGTTTGGAGTGAAGTGGCTGTTCAGAAAATGTGCAGTACTGTGTTTACCTTCATCATCATTTCACCCACGAAGATCACAGTGAAGATGTAATTGGACACACTGAGGAACACCCGCTCCTGACACACATACACACACAGAAAAAAACCCTACATTAATCAGTTTAAAGGTTTTTTGTCCCAGTAGCTTTTAACCTTTGATTCTGCTCAGCAGCTCATTACAATTTGTTACATAATGAGGTGAGAAAAAAAAAACAACAACTGTGACTGTACTGGAAAAATAATAGCAAAAAATAAATGACTGTGTTTTGCATCAGCTACAGGTCCTTTTTTGAGTGGTTTTTCGATGGTTAAGGCTGTTTTTGAACTGAAGTAGCTGCCGTCCCTTTCTATTATTTGCCATCTCTGGTCGGGGTCTACAGTTATGTGACACGCTCTCTTTGTAAAAACTACTCTACACTTCCCGACACTAATGGATAAAGACAGAATGGCGCAGGACAGAGCTGGCTGTCCTGTCAACACATGACAGATAATAACGAACCAGGGAGCCCTCCACTCATTCGTCAATTTCAACTGTGCATCAGGGAAACTGTGGCTCTTCTACAGCACAGCATGGCTACAGTAATATAGTTAATGGAAATGTTGTGTCCAAGGCTGTGATGGACAATTGTTTTCTTATCCTTTTTTTTTCCTAAAAAAAAAAATATTTTCAACTTCTACGCCACAAACTTGGAATAAAACATATCAGTCAGAGACAATGAAAATATTATGATAGTCTGAACCAAACTTGACATTTCAGAATACGTTTGTACTCCACTGAGTTTTCTCAAAGATGGACTGACTGATGTGAACGCTCTGATTATTCAGAGAAATACTGAGATGCAAAACACTAAGTAAATATCGAATCTGACCTATGCTAGCCAACAGAGCGCTAGGCATTACTATTCTGTGCATGCTCATGACGCAGAAATAACAGAAGAAGCAAACCAACAACTGCACTGTTGTCACCTTTCATAACGTATCACCTGTATTCAAATAATAACAACCACCGGGGACAGTTTTAAATCTCACTTCAACACAAAAGAAAATAAAAAGCAGGTGTTGAATCAATGTACTACTAGTATTATTTATTCAGAGGGTAACAGGTACCGCATACTGTGCTGAAAAAAATTTGTTTTTTCCAAATTAATGAATCTAGTCAAGCAATGAAAGCAGCCTGACTCACTCGCTTTTTTTTGTTAACAAGAGCAGAAAGAACAGTGGTTTCACTGGGAAAAGTCAACCATTATTGTCTGGTTAAATCCATTCAGTAGGTTCACATAAACAGTAATGTCCATCTACAGCACAAGTCCAGCTGGAGTTTGAACTTCAGTGCTTTTTCAATTACACCAGCCAAAAAGAGAATTGCTTTGTTTTTATAAAGCTCAGTTTAAACCACCTTAAATATTGCTACGTTAAGTGTTAGCAAGTTTTACAGCTGTCAATGACACAAATTTAGCTTTTTGTTCTAGGGTTGTTTGTGACAATGGATAACTGTTTAAATTTCGAAAGCACAAAAAACAAAAAACACTTGTGTATGTTGTTTCTGCCACAACCAGATTAAAACACAGAAGCTAGCTAGGCACTTGACGTTACCTAGTTAAGAGCCTTACTTTTGGTTATGGTGTTATCTTTGAGCAGACAAACACTAGTCAAACACTAAACCTCCGATTTTAATTTAACTGTAACTCAATTTAATTCTATATTGTAACCAAAGAAAACCCTGTAAATCCACTTATTTTCATATGTGTTACCATGCTGTTCGACTCAATGTCTGGTCTCTCCAGGGCAATGGTGATGCAATTGAGGAAGATGAAGAGGAGGACGATGTGATCAAACATCTTGTGACCTATGACCGGGGGCAGAGGGGAGAGGGGGAGAGCATCAGCATTGTCACCGACCACATCTTCTGTTTCCAGTATGATTTAGTTGGTGTCCTGTTTATCGCCTGCATTTGTCAACATTATATGTTCATTTCCACCCGGGCAGTTTAATTGATAAAGGTGAAAATTGTTGAAGCTGAGCTGCTGCTGTAACCTTCACACTTCTGCAGCAAATTTCACACATACTGGAGCTGAGGCTGCAGCGGCCACCAAGGAAAATGCAAGGGGCTGTGTGAGTGTGAGTGTGTGTGTGTACCGGTTATGTGGGGAGAACAGATAGAGGGACCAGTCTTCATGCTCCAGGCACCACTGTGGCTTATATGGCTCCAGGATTTTCTTCAGTTTTTTACATAGGCTCTGTATGAGATAAACACACACGCGCGCGCGCGCACACACACCCACACAAAGTAATTGTCACAGTTATTACACTGTTAATTTTAAGGTGGATAATATCAGCTCTGCGCACATGTTGGATCAGATTTGTGGAGGGTATTTCTCTGACAAGGTATTTTCAGCTAATCCAATATTTTTTAAATGTACAATAAATACTTCAGACACTGCGGTTGCAGCTCATACTCTCCAACAATTGTTTAAATAATTCAATATCTTTTATTGAAAACAAGACAATATTGATTTCTGTATCTATTTTCCCAGAGTACATATAATGTAAAAAATTCCCCCCGATATTCACCTCCTCAACCTCGTCCTCGTCGTTATCGCCGTGGTAGTGAGACGTCAGAGGAGTGTCATCGTAGCAGCTGTCGCTGAGGTGAAAGGTGGTGCCGTTGCAATCAGGCGAGAGGAGCACCGGCACCTGCAGGAACTCGGACTGGTCCAGGGACTGCTCCATGCTGCTGGGATTGGAGTTTGAGTGCGTGTCGGACAACAGCGACTCCATCTCTCCTGATTGGCTCTTCCTGTGAAGACTTGGGGCTCGACCCATGCTGGTCCAACTGGAGCGACGACTCTCTGGACCGCTGTCCCAAAGGCTCTGTGGCGACAACTATAACTTTATGAATCGGTTTCTCGTTAGATTTGTATCCTGATTATGTTAAATACTGCTGTTTGTGTCAGCAGGGTTCATCATAACATGTCATTGTAATCACGAAATAAACTGATGACGGGTAATTCAAAATAAAAAAAAATGTTTTTTGCATTTTCCTTGCCTTATAATAAGTCTTACATAAGTGCTTTAGTTAAAGTTTTTTTATAGAGTTGTCCTTGTTTGATAGTAGCTTGAACAGATGTGGATTTCACACTGTAATTTGGGAGCACTGGAGAAGAACATCTTTGTCATCATAAATCTGACGCATACACCACAGAAGAAGGAAAAGAGAAAAGCCTGAGAGTGGTTAGGTACAGAGAAGGAGACGAGAGTTGACATCACTCTGTGTGAATAGTCACTGCAGGTTCCCCTGATGTGCAGGAGGAACAGAAGAGGTGAGTGTTCCTCACTCCAATCGTCTCCCTGTGCAGTGTCACAGTGAGACGTGAATAATTATTTTTGCACGTTTGTGGATAGAGAAAACAATTACTGTTAGAGGAAGAAGGTTTGTGGATAGAGAAAACAATTACTGTTGAATTTGTTACCGTTTGCAAAATAAAGAATAGAGGAAGAAGTAAAAGTGGAGGAACCAAATTATAGTTGTTCTGCCATGTAATGCAGTTTTGACCAGATCAGCCATTTCTTCCTTTCTAACAGTGGACACAGTTTGGAAGACAGGAGTGAAGGGTGCGGGGGAGGGCCGAGGGATGATGTGGCAAAAGCTGAGGTCAGCACCAAAACCCCTGCAGAAAAGTACGTTTTTATGAGGAACACCTAACTGTTGGAGTCCCACTCCAGCCGGTCAGATGAATTATATTTAACAGACCATGCATTAGGACTGGATGTTACCATACAATCACAAAGGTAACGTCAATAACCTATGTATGTTAGAACAGTAGTGCATAATAGTTGAAATGAAAACTTCATGCTTACAGCACAGGCTCAAATGACTAACTTTATAGAAAACAAAACATTAAATGTTCAGAATAGTCAATCCTCTCCCAGGCTTAGTTAACTAAGCTTACACTGTTATCCAATTAACCTAGAATTGATGGTATTATTTTTTATGATTTGGTATTATTAATGTGAGAAAAGAAAAAAGCTACAAACACACACACACCCTTTATCTTAGCCAACATACACTAACACCCCATTAAAATGAGAAAACTAAGTAAATAAACACAAACCATAAAAGGTGTTTTTTTATGATGCAATGCTTTTGCATCTTATATTTTAGTAATTACAAATACGCTGCCACTCTGAATACTAATGTATGAAAACATGCTGCTCAAAGTGTATTTTTTTATGTGTACACATTGCCGAGCAAATTGGCAGCAGGACTGGTGCCTCAGGCGAAGACATGATTCGTCTGTAAACACTGTAATGTGAATCCGTTTCTCTGCCTTACCATGGAAGGTAATGAAGACGATGGACCACTGGTACCGAGGGTTGAAGTATTAATTACTTTTTGACGATTTATGACAAATATAAATGACGCCAGAGCGACATGACATGGTTGATGAAGGGGGAAGTTATCATGTGTCAACAGCTGAAAAATATGATTAAAAAATATTCTACCTTCAGATATATTTTATGACTCATGAGAGTCAAGGAGTTTGATAAATGATCTCCTTGGTTATTAAATTTAAGGATTACAGTAGAGTCACAGTTTAGGCCGAGTCTAAGATCAGATAAAAAGAAGATTAATCTTTTGTTCCAGTGAGGAATTTGCCATGGATTTTGTAACGTCTTCAGAATAAAATTTTTAAAAAAAGAAAATCTTAAATCATCAATCACTCACAAAACTGAACATGTGAACAAAATTAAAAGAACGGTTAAAAACAGCTACAGGTTACAAAGAAAATTCAATTCTTTGTGTCCCATATTCCATTCTGGATGACGACAAGGCTTTTCTTAACGTATCCGTCCACATCCGTCACAGGTCACATTACTGCAGTCACAACATAGTGTGTGTGTGTGTTCTAAACTCACCGGTGGTCTTTGCTCCAAGCTGTTGATGTCCATGGAAGCTCCACTCGCTCGCCGTGATTGGCAGGAGTTAATGGTGGGCGTGGCTGCGGTGTGGGTGATCAGAGGTGGAGGAGGAAGCTGGGGCATGGAGGCCTTCGGGTTCAGGGGACCATTAGGACTGAGCATCATGGTGTGGAGCCTAAGCTCTGCAGCCACACACACACACACGAGAACACAATGTACATATACAGGTTATTTCAAAGACTTAGAGAAGCTTGAATATGTAAAGAAGTATTTTTTATAAAGAAGAGCAAAGAATCACAGATCATTATCTAAATAAAAATCACTTCTCTGGTCTTTTGAAGCTCGTTGTTATTGCCATTAATGAGACGTACTCCAACAGATGCCAAGGGGCCAAAGTAAGGAAGTAAAAAAATTTCTTTCCATCATCCTAAACTTCAAACGTCTGTTCATTACACAGCTAACAACGCAGGGAAAGTGTTACTTTACCTACATTATCTTGGACGGAAGGTAAAAGCTAAACTCCAAGAGAGAGTAATTTCTCTCACAAGGGCTTTTGAATCAGAGGAATGTTTTAGCTTTGTTGCTACGGCCCCATCAGCACGTCACTATAAATAAAGGGAAGAAAGACATACTGTTGGAGCTGACAGTCTGAGTTTTCCTGTTCATTTTGGATGAAGCCCAGCAGTAAAAAAATAAAAATAAATCAAACTAACAGTGAAAATTGTTGCTTTGTGTTTTTTTGTCTTTAAACAAAAATATTATTACAAATTAAAACAATAACAATATTAACAATAATAATGATAATACTAATTATTATTATTATACTGTATGTTAAACTAATAATAATCAATACATCAATAATAATGATAATAATAATAATTATCATTATACTGTATGTTAAACTAATGATAATCAATACAAAATGAAATTAATAATCATTTTAGAACGCTTTCAGATGAAGAATTCTTTTAATCAGAGTTTAGTAAATAAACATGATCAAGATGAAAATATAACAAATAACATTTTAGTTGTCTAAAAGGTTTTTTAATTTTTTGACTGTAATCATTTTGATATTTAAAAAATTAAACAAAATTTAAACCAGTTCTAATGACTAACACTGGACTAAGAGGCTGCTCAAATGAACACAGCTAAAAGTTGCCATTACATTGCATTAAGTCTATGCAGTGCTGCATTCAAGAGCCACCAGAACAACGATGACATTCGCTGCAGACCTGTTCAAACAAGCCCCTATCTGCATTAAAGCCAAATGAACATTTGATCAATAGTTTTATCCTGACATTACTGTAATCGTGTCATTTCATTTGTGGATCTCACAGGCCCCTGGGTGTCTGCGGTGGTTTTATTAACAATCCCCCAAGGCCGACCAGACTGCAAATATACAACCAAAGTTGTGAGAGAGTTGAGGCACTTTGAAATATAGGTGTATGAGGTAGTGACACGTACTCAACACTGCCTTTACTGTCTGCTTGCCAGCTGGAATACAGGGACAAAAAACTCCATCCTATTATCTAGGCTAAGATCCACTGGATAAAATCAGAGCTGGCTGCTAACTGAAAAAATGGGTTTGCTGCTTATCTCATCATTAACAGCCTTTCTGATTGGACTGGGAAGTTAGTAAATCACTTGTATTCTCAAACTTATATTCATAGAGAATATATAATAGTTTCTGTCCCAATGATTCCCCCTGAGCTGTTGGTCTAAAGCAGTACAATGGTCTCTCTCTATATCTCGGCCCACACAGTAGCTCTCAACAATCTCGCGAGAGATCGCGGTACTTTATGGGTTTTTTATTATTTCATATATTTTTATTATTTTCATGAGAAAACATTCCATACCAAAACAATAAACAGTAAAATTATAGCAAATACATATACGCTGGTAGCTTTTGTTTAGGAGATCGAACGTGCTCTTCTGTTCCACCCGCTGATTAGCTCATGCTAATCGTAGCATCTCTTAGCATCTAGCCTAGTCTGTCCGCCGCTCGTTCACTTAGCTCTGCGCCGTTGCTGTAAAGTTTGTGTTCGGTGAAAGTTTACCCTCATTTAACGCCCTAAAGGCTCTGCTCATCTTCTTGGGCTTCTGTTACGAAGCCCAAACGAACGCGCTGACACAGACGCCATTTTCTACTAATCGAATTGCCCTCACCTGCATCCGGGGCTGCACCTGCGTCGCCACACACGTGCTCTTCCTCCTGCAACTGAGCGCTATCCTCCGCCGCGCCCCCACAATGCGCATGTGCATTGAATCTGATTCATAACTACGTATTTTACATTGTTTTTCATGGTCGTGTTTTTAAGTTATTTACGTAATATGTATGTCTTCATATATGACAATTTTGAGCATTAGCACGTGTTTGGTACAGAATCCCATAAAACCCCTGACTTTTTTTGCAACTGAACCTTTAAATTAATGCCAGGTTGAAGACAAAGGGTAGAACCCCTAATTGTTGATGTGATTTAGAAGCTATAGTATGGCTATGGCTGTTTAAAAATACCTCTCCAGCATGCCATAATGTAAAAGCAACACTAACTTTGGCTTTCACTT